CCGCCTCCCCTCCGCCGCCCGCGCGCCGCCGCCGGTCCCCGCCGCCTCCTCCTGCGCGGCGGGCCGCGGCCACGCGGTTGCGCCGCTTACCTGGGCGTGAGGCCAGGGGCTGCAGGCACCGGGCACCGCTGCGTCCGCCACCGCCGCCGCCCCACCTCCGCCTCGCCCGCCCCGCCGCCGCCATCTTGCGCCGGGGCCGCGGGTATGGAGCGCATGCGCGAAGCAGAGCCCGCGCTTGGGGGAATTACGTAGAGCATGCGCAAAGGCTGCGCGGTCACCCCGCCCACCCGGCGCCATCTTTGTGGCGGGCACCGCCCCGCGGTGGGCGCGGAGCGGTTGCGGTCCCGCCCGCGCTGTCGTGGAGCCGCTCCGTGCGGGCCAGCCCCGCCCTCCCGCCCGCCGCGGGCGGTTCCCGGCACTGACAGGGCGCGGCCGCAGCGGTCGCCACCAAAGAGCCTTTGAAGAGCGGCGGCGCCGGGGCGGGGTGGTGGCCGGGGCGGAGGGGCTGCATTGATGTGGAGGCGCGGGGCTTCCGCCGCCCGCCGGGCACAGCGGTTGCTCCTGCTGCGCTTCAGCCCGGGCCGGCCCTGGCAGCCGCTGCCTGTCCCGGCGGTCCCTCGGGCGCAGCGCTGACACGTCCCTCCCCACACTATTGCCGGGCCGTTCCCTGTCCCGCGGGTCCTGGTGGCAGCCGGCGGGCGCTGGCAGTGAGGGGCGCGGTGCAGCGCAGGGCACTGCCCGGTGGTCGCTGGGGTCGGTCCCTTGTCCCGCGGCTGCTGCTGCGCAGCGTGTGCTGGAGGATGACACGGGACGTGGAAGGAGGACACGGCTGTTACTGGGGGTTCCCTGGGGGTCGCAGGACCCCTCGCAGCCGGCGGAGCTTCTGCCACATCCACCTAGCGGAGCACCCGTCCTGCCTCGGCCCCACCTCCCTGGGCAGCCGCTGGCCCACGGCCCCGGTGAAGGGGAAACCGCGGGGCCTCCCCTGCCCTTTTCTTCTGGGATATCCCAGCTGCCCGGCTTTCCAAGGGGTTTCCCATCTCCCGGAGTCCTGCCCTCTGCTCCGGGAGCAGCGGGGTCAGTTTAATGAGTTAACGCTGGCGCAGCAGTTCTGGGGGGATAAGTGCTGTGTAAGCACTGAGGCTCGCGTTTTGGGCTTCCAGCAGCCCGGCTCCGCTGCCCAGAGCACCGATAACCCCCCGGGGCACAAAGGGCCGGCTCAGACCGACCCCTGAGGGCAGAGGGGACTCTGTGAAGGGACAGTGAAACTCCAGACTTGGAGCGAGGCAGCTCAAGTGGCCGAGGGGGTGGTGAGGGCAGGGGCTCTCGGCATGGCTCGGTCAGGCAGGATTTTCGGGAGGCAGCCCCGGGCTGAGGAGCTGCCCGTCTTTTCCGTGACGGGAGCAGGACGGCGGCTGGGCGCTCGTGGGGACACTCCGGCAGTGCCCATCTCGGTGCTGCGACCCCGGAGCCAGCCAAGCTGCCGCTAACACACGGGGCAAGGCCACCCAGAGGCACATCCTGCAGAGCCAGTGCTGCCTGCCTTGGGGTCGGGGCAGTCCTGAGGGTCCGCAACTTCTCTGCTCAGGTTCATGTTACAGATGGCCATGAACCAGCCCCCAGCAGCAACCCCGGCGCGGGTCTGCACTGGAGCTGGGACAGCCGAGCACTGGCAGAAGCTGGCATAACACAGATTGGGAGTCCCCAACAGCCCAGGCCCTCCCGGACATTGCCGTTTGCACATGTGTCCCTCGCACGGGGGGTGCCGGAGATACCCACGGCTCTGGCTGCGTGTGCAGGACGCGGGGAGCGGTGTTTTCGGGGGGAAGAAGGCTTCGTGTCCAGCCTGGAGGTGGCCAGGCGAGCCGCTGCCTGTGCCGCTGCTGGCAGCCAGCCGGGCTCGGCGGGACACCGACCTGCATCCTCCCCGACCGTCCGTTCCGCTGTCTCCTCCCAGCTGTGAGCACAAGGAGTGGCAGTTGGGGGCTATATAAAGGCAGGGAAACCTCAGCCAGCTCAAAAGAAAGTCTTGGAGCTGGTGGTGTTCTCCCTCCCTCCTGCCTTCACGTGATTCAGCTTCCCCACGCCGGGAGCCAAGGACAAGCCTCGCTGTAAGTACCCGAACTGAGCCGGCATTGTTTGGGGGAGCCCCCCAGCCTCTGGGCAGGACGGTGGCTCCGGGGAAGGGGATCCCCCATCCTCTCCCTTCACAGAATTGGAGGAAAACGCTGTGGGGGAACCCCGTCCCATTGCACAGCCCCGGGGAGGGGGTCCCCATCCTCTCCGAGAACTGGGGGAAGCTGTGTGTGAGCCCCGTCCCATCCCACGGGCTCGCACGGAGCTCTGCCTGTTCCTGCGGGATGGACAGGCTCCAGCTCACGTCTCAAACCAGCCTGGGGGCAGGCGGCACATCTCGGAGGGGCTGTGACGGTCGTGGGACGGCCCCACGGGCGAGGGCTCGCTGCTCTGCGAACTGCTGGGGCTCTCCGCTGCAGCAGCACGCACGGGGCTGGCGCCTGTCCCTGCGGTTCGGGGAGCGGGGTGTGTTCAGCGCGGGGGGAGTGCTGCAGTGGGTGTTCCCAGATGTGGGACCCTCGGGCTCCACAGGGCCAGTGCGGGGGCTTGTGCACAGCACACTGGGGTAGGAGCTATGTCCCTCACGGGCTGCTGCTCCAGAGGTTTCGGGCAAAAGCGACCTGGGCAGCACTGGGGGGTTTCAGAGAGAACAGTGGAGCCGTGGGGTGCTCCTTGGAGCTATCCCCTACCCGGGGCAGGTCGGACAGCAGCTGCTTCCCTTCCAGTGTGTCCCCGGGCCTGTCTGTGCTGACACTCGTGTACGTCCCCAGGCCAGTCCGTGCTGACCCTGCTCTCTGCCTCCAGGTGCGGGATGGCTGCCGGCGGCTGCCTCCTTCTCCTCCTTTTGCCCTCGCTGCTCACAGCTTCACACAGCCCTCCTGGCTGTAAAATCCGGATTACTTCCAAGGGGCTGGACCTGGGTAAGGGGACGTCCAGGATCTCACAGTCTGGGAAGAGGGACGTTGGGCACCGTCCTGGGATCTGTGCTTGTGTAGGGCTCTGCCTGCACTGCTCCACCACGGGGCGGCCGGGAGGAGTGGGGGCTGTCAGGGGCGATGCTCCCAGGAGGGCACGTCCCGACCCAGCCTCGTTTTTCCCTGCAGTGAAGCAGGAGGGGCTGCGCTTTGTAGAGCAGGAGCTGCAGAACATCACAGTGTCGGACCTGCATGGGAATGAGGGGCAGTTCCAGTACAACATCAGCCAGTGAGTGCTGCCTGCTGCCCACGGCCTCCCGTGTCCATCTGTCCGTCTAACCACCCCTGTCCCCTCCCTGCAGGGTCAAGGTGACAGACCTGCAGCTGGCCTTTTCAGATCTGAGCTTCCAGCCACAGCAGCACCTTGTCTTCAACATCAACAATGCTTCCATTAGCCTACGTTTCCGCAGGCAGCTGCTCTACTGGTTCTTGTGAGCTGCCTCCCCTTCCTCCTGCTCTGGGTGCTAGCCCATCCCATAGCTGTGCATGCTGGGTGCCACAGGTGCCTTGCTGTCCTGCAGCTGGCAGGAGCTGTGTGCTCATCTGCTTCTCTGGCTTCTAGCTACGACATTGGGTCCATCAATGCCTCTGCGGATGGTGTCCACATCTACACAGTGCTGCAGTTGGCCAAGGATGAGGCTGGGCGCCTCAAGATCTCCAATATGACCTGCAATGCCTCCATAGCGAGAATGCACGCTGGCTTCTCCGGCACACTCAGGTACACCCGACCCCTCTGCGTGTGCCTGGCTCTCTGACCCACTTCCCACACCTTCAGTGCTTCCACAGCCCAGCTGTGTGCTGGAATGGGCACAGAGCCACAGGGAAAACAGGCAATGCAGAACCACTCTTGTGTTCTCCAGGAAAGTTTATGAGTTCCTGAGCACCTTTATCGTCACAGGGATGCGCTTCCTCCTCAGCCAGCAGGTACAGCTGAGCACAGAGAGGGGCTGTGGGATGTTAGGGCTCAGCCCGTTGTGTGTGGGACAGGGCAGAGTTGTATCCCACCCATCTGCTGGGCCTTGTCCTGCCTCTGCAGCTCCTCATCCAGTCCTGGGAGTGATTCCCCTCAGCCTGGCTCCTTGCCTTGCAGATCTGCCCATCCCTGGAGCATGCCAGCCTGGTGCTGCTGAACTCTTTGCTGGACACAGTGCCTGGTATGTGTTGCCCTGGGAAAGGGACTGGATCCCATTCACTGTCGGGCAGACAGTGCTGGGCATCAAGCTGCCAGGCAGCTCCAGGCTAAGTCACACCAGCACATCTTCCTTGGCAGTGAGAAACTACGTGGATGAGCATATTGGGATTGACTACTCCCTCCTACGGGATCCGTCCATCACCACTGACACCCTTGAGCTCGACTTCAAGGTGAACACTGGGTCCTGCCTTGCTGGTCCTTCCCCATCCCTGTGGAAAAGGCTGTGCCAGCAGGCACGTTGGGCTCCATGGAACAGGTGAGGGCTGCCCCATGGCTGTGGGAACCTCCTCTGCTCTTGATCCAGGGCATGTTCTTCCCCCGGGTGAGAGAGGACCAGGAGCTGGAGAACCACGCGGTGGAGCCGGTGATCAAAGAGACTGAACGCATGGTCTATGTTGCCTTCTCTGAGTACTTCTTCGACTCAGCCATGCACTCATACTTCCAGGCAGGAGTACTGACCATAGAGCTCCAGGGGGAGAAGGTAAGGAGCACCAGACCCTCAGACTGTGTGCAGGCAGGAGGGAGGGGTGGGCTGTGTCACAGAGCAAAGGAGGTGCCATCCAGGGAGCAGCTTTGCTGGGACCTGCAGCAGTGGCTTGCTCCCCCTAAAGTGGTTTGTGCTCTCCACAGGTGCCCAAGGACCTGGAGGTTTTGCTGAGAGCCACATTCTTTGGGACCATCTTCATGCTGGTAAGGAGCCCCCAGACAGGATGGAAGGCATGGCAGAGCACAGCCCTGCCCTGCACACAGCCTCCAACTCACCTGCATTCCCCAGAGCCCTTCTGTGGATGCCCCGCTGCGGCTGGTGCTGCAGGTCTCTGCTCCCCCCCGCTGCACCATCAAACCCTCGGGGACCTCAGTTTCTGTCTCTGCTTTCCTGAACATCTCACTGGTGCCCCCGGATCGCCCACCTGTCCAGCTCTCCAGCATGGCCATGGTGAGAGGGGGGCTGGGGCTCCTTGTGCAGTCAGCCCAGTATAAACAGGAGCAGTGTCTCCCATCTTGTGCTGTAAGGCACTGGTGTGACTGAGGAGAGGGACACTGGACCTGTGGCATGAGCTGGCCTGGTTGTCCTCTGCCTGCTGTGAGTCAGCCCTCTTCCTCCCCAGGAAACCAAGCTGAGTGCCAAGGTGTTTCTGCAAGGGAAGGCCCTGCGTGTGCAGCTGGACCTACGACGGTATGGCTGGGGTCCCATGGGGGCATGGGGAGAGCCCCCTCCACACCGTACTCACAACTGCTTCCTTCTGTCCAGGTTTCGCATATATTCCAAGCAGTCAGCGCTGGAGTCGCTTGCGGTGAGAGCACGGTGATGGCCTGGGAACCCTTAGACCCAGCCACAGGGTTGGGGTGGGCTGGGGAGAGGCTGTCCATTCAGGATCCCCACTTACAGCCCTCCCTGCCCTGGCTGGCAGCTCTGCCACTACACTGACCCCAGCTCTTCTCCTGCAGCTGTTCTCACTGCAGGCCCCACTGAAGACCCTGCTGCAGCTGACCATCATGCCCATCATTAACGGTAGGCATCACTGCTCCCACACAACTGGGAGTGGAGGCAGGGGCATAGCAGAGCTCAGCCTCATCTCAGCTCTCCCTGTCCGTAGAGAGGACAAAGAAGGGAGTGCAGATCCCACTGCCTGAAGGCATGGACTTCACCAGGGAGGTGGTCACCAATCATGCGGTATGTGGTGCGATAGGCACAGCCTGTGCCTCCATGTCCTGCTGGGAAGGGCACTGTCACCTCCAGCCTTGCACTGACCCCTCTTCCCTCTGCAGGGATTCCTCACAGTGGGAGCTGATCTCCACTTCTCCAAGGGGCTGCGGGAGGTGATTGAGAAATACCGCCCAGTGCCAACCACTGCTGCCTACTCCAGCTCCCGGCCTGCAGAGCCCAGCCTGGACCCCAGCTCGCTCTAGCTCTCCTCCCTGGACCAAGGGCAGATCCCGGGCTGGACCCGTAGACTGTAGGTAGGAAGCAGCTTCCCTGGTACCACCAGCACATTGTCAGGGCGTCCAGGCCCTGGTTGGGCGCAGCAAGGTGGAGAGGGTGCTCTGGGAATCCCTGCTGCAGCCCTGCTCATTACACTAATAAACCACCTGACTCCAACCACATGGCCTCATTGCTTGGAGGACATGTCCATGCTGGGGAGATGGAAAGGAAGCAGCTGATGCTGCTGCCCAACATGGGTCCTTGGGAGCAAATGCAGCTCAGTGCAGTGCCAGAGGGCTCAGAGTGACTGCGCTGCTGCCGCTTAGGTGGGTCACTCGTTTCCAGGACGCAGGGACCCCTGCAGAAAGGGCACAGTTCACAGAGCCCAGAGCTCCCTGGCAAAGGGCATTGTCACTCACTGGTGCTCCTCAGAGAGCGGAGGAAAGCGAAGCAGGGGCTGGCACAAAGGTGCGAGGAGGAGCAGAACCACCTTGGTCAGAGTTTATTGCGAGTTCCTGAAGCACTGCGTGCCCTGGCAGTGGGATTGTTGTGGTAAGTCTCCTTCAGTGGGAGCAGAGGTGGTGGGAGCCAAGGTAGAGGTGAGTAGGACCCAGCTGCCCCCTGCTGCTGCTCCTCATAGCCTGCCCAGGCCGTGTGCGTGTGGGGCCGAGGGGAAGTGCTGGGGATTGCTCCCTGCCTGGGAGGGAAGCAGCTGCCACCACAGATAGGAGGAGGCAAGACAGGAAGCCACAAGGGAGGAGGTGGCTGCAGCAGGTGCACAACGCCCCTCCCACAAGGACAGAGTCCCCCAGCCCATGCCCCCTACCCTGTCTAGCCGGGGGGAAGGCTGCAGGTGTGGCAGGTCTGTGGTGTAGCCGAGCAGCAGCGAGGATGGGCTGTGTAAGGTGCCGGTGGTGAGGGCGGGTGGGGTGGTGAGAGCAGCTGGAGCGCCGGGCGCTACCTCTGCAGCTCTTAGTAAGGCTGGTTCTTAATGAAGCGGCAGAACATGGTGAAGGCAGCAAGTGGCCGGTCTGTGGGCACCATGTGGCCAGCTCCCTGTAGGAAAGGGACAGTGTTGGCAGTGTGGCTGGGGTGCTGCCACAGCCCAGCTGACACCAAACCCTGACTGCAGCCTTAGTATCCAGCACACCCACCCACAGCCCCATCCCTGGCCCCCAGAGCCCTCAGCCCTACCTTGACAGTGAGGAAAGCGATGTTGGTGAATTCCTTCACAAACCCACCGATCTGGTTCTCACCATTTTCAGTGTAGAGCCAGGGCCGGCGAGCTACCTGCACCTGGGAGTAGCAGCAGTGCCTTCAGCACCTGCAGCTGGCCCTGCCCATGCTCCTGCCACAGCCAGCTACAGCACATAGCCCAGAGCCAGTGACTGGTAATGGCCCTGCCCATTTACCTTCTGGCACAGGGAATCCACAAACCACTCATCCCCGAGAAAGTTACAAGCCATGTCGACGTCCCCATTGTACACCAGGATCCGGTATTTCTGTGTAGCAGACAGAGAGTGAGTTGTTGGCAGGGCAGCAGCCCCAGCCAGGTAGGAGGCTGAGCTGGCAGAGACACTCCCAGGGTCTGTGGGCTCCCCTACACACACCGTAGCTCCAAGCAGCTTGAGGTACTGCTCATTCATCTGCATGTACAGGCGCTTGTAGCTGCGGTTCACGTCGAAGCTGTGGAGGAAGCATTGGCAGCATGTCTGCTCCCTCTCAGAGTAGTCCCTCCCTGCCCACAGCTTGCTCACCTGCACACCTGCCACTCTGGGGCCTCGGGGGAGATGTGCAGAGCCTTCCGCACCTCCGGGGAGTTCAGATACATGCTAGGGGCTGTGGAGTTGGTGCAGGGCGGGTCCATCCGGACCTTATTTCGGGCTACTGGCATCCGGAACAGGTTCTGGGAGAGTCAGGAGAGTCACTGTCACAGCAGCATCTGCCCCATGGAGCAGCAGCTTTCTGCCCCTCCTGCCCACAGCAGCACAACTGGCTGAACAGAGGTTGCTCACAGCCCAGCAGCATGGGCACCTCAGCTCACCTGCCGCCAGGAGAACCTCAGTGGCATCCGGATGAAGGAGTTGCCCAGGTCATGTGTGATGAGATAATCACCCTCGTATCTGTAGCCAGAGAGAGTATGAGGACAGACTGAAAACCCTGGAGAACAAGGGCTAAGGGCTCTCCTGGGGGAAGTCCTCAGCAGCAGCCACACACCATCCATCTGTCCCAGAGGGGCCCCCTGCCCAGCCCACCATGTCCCTCTGTGCCAGTGCAACTAAAGCTCTCACCTCATGCTCCCGGGGACACCTCCATCGCATGGGGCATAGAGGTTGTAGATATTGAGGCCAGACTCCTCTACAATCTGAATCATCTCCCCCATCTGCAAGGAATTGCAAGAAGGGTTTGGGACTCAGCAGGACCCTTGTGCACCTGTGGGCCCAGGCCCATGCCCCTCAGCATGTGTATAGGGGCTCCGGCTCCCCTCACCTTGAGTGTGCAATTCAGGTTGGAGTTGTCATGGAAGTTGCACTTCCCCTGGGAGCAGCAAAAGGCCTGCAGGTCTTGCCACAGCCTGCGGGCAGAGACCAGGACCACTTGGACAGGTGGCAACACTGACATGACAGCTGCCCTGCAGCTCTCTGCCCAGTGGCCACAAGGCACACAGCTTGGCCCTGTGCCCTCTTTACCCCACAAACAAACCCACCCATGGGAGCTGCCCTGGGACAAGGAGCTACAGCCCAGCTATTGGCCCAGGGCAGACTAGGTGCTGCCCTTGTCTCAACACCACCGACCCAGACAGCCCCAGCCTCAGCTGTGCACCCATCCTGCTTGCACAGGGATGGCACATGCAGCATTCCCTCTGCTCTTACTCGGTCCCCAGCAGCCCGTGGTAATAGGCAAAGTAAACCAGGGAGTTGTCATTGATCTCATAAGATGAGAGGCCGTTTCCCACAGCGATTCCCTGCGAGGCAAGAAGAAAACAACCCTGTTGTGTTCCAGCTCCCCGCGGGGCAGTCACAGCACAGCAGCCGCAGGCAGGAAGCAGATGTGGAACTGTTTACTCTGCGGAGGGAACAGGGAGGGTTGGGGGTGCCTGAGGACACTCCCCCGGCAGCAGGGACAGACACGTCCACCAGCAGCTGCTGCCAGAACCCCAGGAAGAGATGAAAGGCTGCAGGGCCAGGCGTGCCCTGCATCCTAACTGGTCCCACCCTGGCTGTGCCAAGCCCTCTGCTCCCCGGCTGGGCAGAGCCAAGCTGCCCACCTTCAGGTTGAGGCTGGGGTCCTGCATCACCCACTCTGCCAGTGTGGGAATGTAGATCCCTCCATAGCTCTCCCCTGTGAGGAAGAGCTCGTTCTTGGAGTACTCAGGGAAGAGCCGGAGGAAGTCCTTGAGTGCCAGGTAGTTGTTGTGAGCAACCTGCAGGAAGAAAGTGGCACGGTCAGGTGGTGAAGCTGCACCCCATAGCCAGGAGTGGGCAGGCAGGGGAGCAGGGCTCTCCCAGTCACTCACCTCCGTGTCATTTGTGCCATATTTCTTGTCATCGGAGTATGAGAAGCCGACACCAGCGGGAGACTCCACGTAGAGGATGTTGGCAATCTGCAAGGATAGCAGAGGAGCCAGCAATCAGGGGAGACCCTCTGGCTCAGTGGGGCCAAGGACTGCTAGCCCCGCCCATGGCAGCAGCCACAGGAGCGTGGCCCGCCCCAGGGCTGCACTGGGGTGGCCACATTCCTGTGCTGCTCAACAGCACACTTGAGAGGAGGGTGTGTTGGGTGGGAGGGGAGCAGCGGTCGGCTCCATGGAGAGAGCAGGAGGAACTGACTCACGGCCACCCCATCTCAAAGTCACAAAGAAAAGCAGTGCCTGTACCTTGTTCCATGCATACTCATTGTACTTCAGTGTGACCCCATCAGGCTGGATCTGAGGAAGAAGGTGGTGACTGATGGGCAAAGCAGGACAGGACACAGTGGGATGGCTCGTACCATGTAGCCGGTCATCCCCTGAGTCCTCAAGCCACAGGATAGCAGTGACTACTAACCAGGAAAGGGCCATGCTCCTTGAGGAAGCCCTCCATGGAGCTGCAGCCAGGGCCCCCGTTCAGCCACAGCACCAGGGGGCTGTTCTGGGGATTGCTCTGGGCCTCCACGAACCTGTGGACGTGTAGTTGTGAGTGCCCGGTGCCAGCCGATACCCCCCATCGCCAGGCGCAGTCCCACGTACCAGTAGTGCAGGTACTTGCCCGGCCCGGCGCAGAGGTAGCCCGAGAAGTGGCGGAAGGACGGCTGCTTTGACAGCCCGGGCAGGTAGGTCACCTCATGGTCCGGGGGGGCGGCCCAGCCCAACCCCAGCAGCAGCAGCGACGACAGCAACACTGGCCCCATCTGCGGTGGGCGGAAGGGACGGTCAGGGTGCTGTCGGCCAGGAACGGCCGCGGCAGCGCCCCGCGAGCGCCCCGGCCCGGCTGCCCCGGTCCGGTCCCCGACTCGGGGTTGACCCCCGGCCCGGCGCAGTCGGCTCCCCTGGCGCCGGTCCCTCCATCCCGTCCCCCCGGTCCCGTCCCGGCGCCCCCCCCGTCCCGCTGACCGCGGCCGCTCCCGGCGCGGCGCTCGCAGGCGGCGGTCACGGCGGGCACATGACACGCGCCCATATGACCTGCGGCCCTCACGTGAGCGAGGCGGGGCCCGACGGCGGCCAATCAGTGCCCCGGGGCCGGCCGGCCCCGCCCCGGCCCTGCCCGCGCACGTGGGAGCGGCCCCGGACCGGGACCGGGACCGGGACAGTACGGGGGCGGGGCACCGATGGAGCCCCCGTACACTAACGGGGTGCCGGTGGGCACCACCGGGCACCACCGGTTACAGCTGGGTGTAGGCGGTACAGCTGGCTGCCACCCAGCACCGCTGGGTAAAGCCGAACATCACCAGGCACTGCCAGTCATCACCGTGTGATGACCACTGGCCACTGCTGCCTATAGCTGGTGCCACTGGGCACCACCGGGCACTGCCAGCTGCTGCTGGACAGCATGGGCGCAGCCAGGCACCCCGGCCCAGGTGGCAGCGCTGGACAGTCCAGGGTGGAACGTCTGTGGGTCTGGTTTGGGCCCAGTTGTGCCCAGCAGCCACAGGGCCCCCCCCAGCCTCCCCCATGGCACTAGGACCCCTCTTGAGCCCTCCGTTGTCCCTCCCAGCCGGCCTGTCAGCACCTCGCAGCAGCTGTGACAGGGACAGTTAAAAATAGCCCCGGCAGCAATGGCTGCCCGGTGCAGGCTTGCTGCACGCTTCCACCACATCCACGGAGCCAACATCCGCCTGGATGCCTCACACACGCAAGCCACACGGGTGGAGAGCTTCGCCAACGGGCTCTGCTTCAGCCAGGAGCCTCTGGCACCCGGGCAGATCTTCCTGGTGGAGATTGAGGAGAAGGAGCTGGGCTGGTGCGGGCACTTGCGCGTGGGACTGACAGCGCACGATCCCCAGAGCCTGGAGGTAGTGCCTGAGTACTCGCTGCCGGACCTGGTCAACCTGGGGGACACCTGGGTGTTTGCCATCACCCGAAACCACAACCGTGTGGTGGTGGAGGGGGAGGAGGCGCAGGCGCGGGGGCGCCCCTGGGAGCCCTTCCTGCTGATCGAGCGGGTGCGGATCCCCCGTGACACGCTGGTGGGGCGCAGCCGGCCCGGCCGCTACAGCCACATCCTGGATGACCTGTACAAGATGAACGTGCTGCCAGCGACCGCCCGGCGCAGCCGCATCGGGGTGCTGTACGCCCCCCAGCCCGACGGCACCGCCGACATGCACATCGTCATCAACGGCGAGGACATGGGGCCGAGCGCCAGGGGCCTGCCCGCCACCCGCCCGCTCTACGCCGTCATTGACGTCTTTGCCTCCACCAAGAGTGTCCGGGTGATCCCGGTGGATTATGGCTGTAGGTACCTGTGCCCCTCCCTGCGGCACGTGCTGCGTGGGCCAGGAGTGGGGGAGCTCTGGTGGGGTCATGCCACAGTTGCCAACAGAGGGAAGGTTGGTATGTGCCACTGGGCTGAGGGACACAGGGTAAGAGGGCACAGGAAAGCCTCTGGTCCTTGTGGAGCACAGGCGAGATCCACAGTACGACTGCGGGGCAGTGTCTGAAAAAAGTTCTGCCATGGGCACTGTGCTGGGGCCAGGGGAGACACCCCAAGCAGCAGCAGCAGTCAGGCAGAGCCCCCTGGCCACCCTTCCCAAGCACAGTGATAGGGTTGGGTGTTTGGGGCTGTCCCACAGCTGTGAGGCCTTGGTGTGCCCAGCCTTGCCTACAGCACGTGGCAGCCAGAGCCAACTAAGATCCTGCCCTGGCATCAAAACATCCACCTACACCCACCACAGCTCAGCATGCTGTGCCCACGCACCTGCCGCGTGCCCCAGACACGATGTTCCCTGGGCAGACACCCTGTGATGCCATTGGAGCCTGGGCATTATCCCATGTCCCTTGGTTTGCTGGGAGGGACCAGGCTAATAAGTGCTAATTAGCACCACGTTGGAAGAATGAGGAGATGGATCAGGTGAGACAGAGCCAGAAGAAGAGCTAGAGCCAGAGTACTGCCTGCCCCCAGCACTGGGAGCCATTGCTTCACATGCTGGTGTCAAGAGCAGCTACTTCTGTCCCAAGGCTGGAAACTGGTATTCTCCCTGGTGTAACAGCTGAGGAGAGTCGTGGCTGCAGCAGACAGTACCCATGCTGCTGAGCCACCCATGGCTCCGGGAAGTCGTATTACAGGAGCAGGAACCAGGCAGATTCTGTTCAGGTGGTCAAGGGGACGGTTCTCGTGGTGGTCTGCCCCAAAGGTATGGCAGGCACTGCCTCTGCAGGCAGTGGAGCCCCAGCCTGCAGACACTCACCCAGCAGCTTGGTGCTGGGGCCAGTGCAGGCAAACCAAGGGAGTGGGATGGAAAAGAAGCCCAGCATGAGTAAGTGAGACCCTGGGGAGTTGCCTGACATCCACCAGAGAAAGAAATGCAAACCAGCCACAATCACACACAGCTTGGGCACATAACTGTCTCTCAGCCTTCCTCCTAATAACGGGAAGAGCTTTGCTGCCCGGGGCCCTTGAGCTTCCAGCCCTGCTGGAGCAGCCTGGCACCAACCCCCGCACAGCCAGTTTGAGCCCAGGGCAGGACGATGCTGCAAAACAAACGCACCCACTACTGCCTTTAACCACAGTGCCTCCCAGAAGCACTGCCAGCTCCTCCACCCCGCTGTGCTCAGCCTCACTGCCAACCTGCCCAGCTCAGGTACACTCTCTGTTCTCTTGCAGTTCCTTCCCTGCAGACGCTGTGCCGGCTGGTTATCCAGAAACACATTGTGCACCGCCTGGCCATCGATGGCCTGGACTTGCCCCCGCTACTCAAGAGCTTCTGCCAACATGAGTGAGGTATCGAAGGTGCTGCTGGGCTGCCCACCACATCAACAGCCCCCCAGTGATGGCTGCCCGGCAGGCTCTGTGCCCCGCCCTGCCCACTCACCCCAGCATGTGCTGCTGAAGGGCTGATGTGAAAGCAGGCCAAAGTGGGGTTGGGATTTTCCCCGCACTGATGGTGTGGTATGCCCAGAGCGTGGGCAGGGGGATTGATGTGGGTCAGAGAGAGCAATAAAGTGCTTCCAGACAAGACTCTGTCAAAGGAGGCTTGGGGGGCTGGGATGCCCCTGTGCTTCAGCAACCTCTTGTAGGAGCAGTTCCCCCACCAGTGAGGAAGGGAGCACAGGCCACAGCCCTGTGGGGTTCAGGACATGTCCCTGGCCCTGGAATTACGCTGGGACTGTCTGGGTGGATCAGAGCGGGTGGAGCGTGGGAGGGCACAGCACAGCACAGCACTCACGTGGAGGTAAATTTCAGCCAGACTCATCCTGGCCCGGCAGTTTCACTCTTGGGAAAGATGTTTACCCAGAGAACGATGAGTTATTTCCTGTGTGTTCAGCTTGGAGGGGGACGAGTCAGATGCTGGAGCACCCAGACAGCAGTGCTGGCAGCAGCCCTTGCTTGGGCACGTGTCTGTGGCCACAGAGCCAGTCACAGTGACCTGGTGTGGGGCACAGCCATCCTGACTTGGAGCTCCATGCCCTTGGCTCTGTGCCCTCAGCCAGACTCTTCAACCCCTGGCAGGTGGGGATGGCAGCCAGGATCCTGCAGTGCCTATGGCAGGCTGGAGGGGAGGCAGCTGTGCAGAGGAACAGGCTGGAGGGGGGAGGTCTCCTAAAATCAGAGGGGTTCCCATGGGAGTCAGAAAGATATCAAAGGGGCTGGAAAAGTGTTCCAGGCCTCTTCCATAGCACAATCAAAGGGGAAACAAGCAGCTCTAAGCTTACAAAAAGGTGTTTTAAAGAAACAGGATGCTATATTTAGTCGGAGACTCGATAGTATCAGATCATGTTACAAAATTTGTGCTCAAAGGAAATCCCCAGCCCACAACCACAGCCAACTCTATCAACACCGAAGTGTTAATGAAGGAATTGCTAAATTCCATGGGAAAACATGGACAGTGACCAAACCACAGCTATGGAGCGAGGTCTCTGACATTCCCTGCTATGTCCCAACAACAGGCTGGGAGCTGCTGGGGCTGGAGCTCATCTGGCTGCGATGGGGCTGGGGAACTCACCCACTCCAGAGCAGCGCCCACAGACGAGGGCGTTTACTCTCCAGGCTGTTTTCTCTCTCCCACCCTCGCACGAAGCCTTTGCTCCCCACCTCCCTGCAGTGTTATCTGCCCGGCAGTGACCCCTGCACACGAGGGCGGGTTCCTCTTTCTTGAGGAATTGAGAGCAGCTGCTGCAACCAGACAAACAACACCCCTGCTCTATAGTGAGCTGCAGCACAGTGGGATTGCAGGGATTCAAGAGCTGCCACCTCCTGCCACCTGAGGCACCACGGTGAGACAGGACAACTGAGGAGCAGTGCCCAAAGCCCTGCCCAATTCCCCATGCTCTGTTCCCTGGGCAGGAAAGGGTGGCTGCAGCTGGCACAGGGACAGGCTCAGCTCCCAAACAACACGAGGGTGATTTATTGGCTCAGTTGCACAACACCTCACAGCTGGATGCTGCAAGGACCTGCGGGTGCTGGCCACAGATGAAATAGTTTTGTCACGTGTTATTGTACCTAGATCCTTACAAATCTATGGGCCCTCATGGGATTAATTTGAGAAACCACAAAGAGCTGGCTGATGTCATCACAAAGACTGTCGATGATTTTTGAGCAGTTTTGGGAATCTGGAGAGGTCCCACATGACTGGAAGCTGGAGAATGATGTCCCAATTTCAAAGGACAGGAAGGAGAACCCTGGAAACTACAGGCCTGTCAGTCTCACTTCAGTGCCCAGTAAAATAATGGAAAAGATCATTCTGGCAGGTACTGAAAAACACCTGGAGGAGAACACAGTCACTGGTCACAGCCAGCATGAGGGAAAGTCCTGCTTGCTGAACATGATTTCCTTCTAAAACAGGGTAACCAGCCTTACTGACCAAGGAAAACCAGTAGATGTAATGTTTTTTGGTTTCAGCAAAGCTTTTGATACTGTCTGTCCCAGTATTCTTTTGGACAAAGTGTCCAGCTTGCAGCTGAATAATCCTGTTACACAATGGGTGAGCAACTGGCTCACAGGTTGGGCACAAACAAAGACTTACAGTGAATGGAGTGACATCAGGCTGGTGTCCAGCCACTAGAGGGGTTCCCTAGGGCTTCACCCTTGGCCCAGTTCTCTTCAACATCTGCATTAACGACTTGGACTCAGGACTTGAAGGAATACTAAGTAATATACTAATCTTTAGTGCTAACAACACTAAATTGGGAGGAGCTGTCGACTCCATTGAGGGCAGAGAGGCCCTGCTGAGAGACCTCAGCAAATTGGAGAGATGGGTAATCACTAAAAGTATGAAGTTTAACAAGAGCAAATGACATTCTGCACCTTGTACAGGGCAATCCTGGTGGTATATACAGACAGGGGAACAGGAAGCTGGAGAGCAGCACTGTGGAAAGGGACCTGGGGGTCCTGGTTGATGGAATATGATCAGCAGTGCCCTTGCAGCCAGGAGGGCCAATCCTGTCCTGGGGACATCAGACACAGCATTGCCAGCAAGGGAGGGGATTGTCCTGCCCTGCTCTGCACTGGTGCAGCCTCACCTCAAGTCCTGGGGGCAGTTTTGGCACAACAATATAAAAAATACATTGAAGTATTAGAGAACATTCAAAAGACACCACGAGGATGGTGATGGGACTGGAAGGAAAGCTTTTGAGAAACATTAGAGGTGACTTGGTCTGTTCAGCCTGGAGAAGAGGAAACTGGGGTAATGGAGAGATGGGTAATCACTAAAAGTATGAAGTTTAACAAGAGCAAATGACATTCTGCACCTTGTACAGGGCAATCCTGGTGGTATATACAGACAGGGGAACAGGAAGCTGGAGAGCAGCACTGTGGAAAGGGACCTGGGGGTCCTGGTTGATGGAATATGATCAGCAGTGCCCTTGCAGCCAGGAGGGCCAATCCTGTCCTGGGGACATCAGACACAGCATTGCCAGCAAGGGAGGGGATTGTCCTGCCCTGCTCTGCACTGGTGCAGCCTCACCTCAAGTCCTGGGGGCAGTTTTGGCACAACAATATAAAAAATACATTGAAGTATTAGAGAACATTCAAAAGACACCACGAGGATGGTGATGGGACTGAAAGGAAAGCTTTTGAGAAACATTAGAGGTGACTTGGTCTGTTCAGCCTGGAGAAGAGGAAACTGGGGTAAGACCTCATTGTGGTCTTCAGCACACTCATGAGAGGAAGAAGAGGGGCAGGTACTGGTCTCTTCACTGTCATGACCAGTGACAGAACTCGAGGAAATGGTATAAAGCTGAGCCAGGAAAGATTGAGGCAGGATATCAGAAAAATGTTTTTCACCTGAAGGGTGGCTGAGCACTGGAACAGGCTCCCATGGGCAGTGCTCATAGCATCAAGCCTGTCTGAGTTCAGGAAGTGTCTGGACAACGTTCTCAGGCACATGGTGAGATTTTTGTGGTGTCCTGCACAGGACTGGGAGTTGGACACAATCCCAATGGGTCCCTTCCAACTCAGCAGATTCTAGGATACCAGCACCTCCCACACTGCACCACCCAGAGCTGGCTCCTGGCCACAGCTGTTAGCCAGATCAGTGACTGTTACCCTTCCTGCAGGATCAGGAGCTCCCAATCCAGTTCCTCTGCTGCCCTGTGCAAGAAGTGACGCTCACTCAGCAGATCAAGGACCCAAACTGCCCCTTCCACACCAAGGAAATGACAGGCCGAGGGGAATGAAGGTGCAAGACAGGACACAGTGGAAGCACCCAGCTCAGCTCCCACCTGGAGCTTCACCTCAGTGGAGGGCCTGCTCCAGCTGTCAGCCAGCTCCCACAGAGTCCTGTGCTCCAAGTCCTCACTACTGTGGCTGATCTCTGCTGTGAGGAAGGACACCACCAGGGATTTATCCAAAGACTTTTTCCAGGAGCTTTTTAGGACCTCCAAGAGGCCATCAGCACTGTCCCACCCAGCCTGATGGGCATCACATCCCCTCTCCCATGGTCTTCTGAGCATTTCCCTCTGCAACAGCTTCCTGTTTGAACTCAGCACAGCCAAGATGGGCCAGCAGGGCAGCTGGAAGGCCAGGTAGAAGTGGCAAGTGTAGCTACTTGGGCCTTTCTGGAGGATGCTCACAGGGTGGGCATCCTCCTGGATCTGTACATTGAGCCTGTCCTACCTGGTGCAAATCAGCTGCCTGGACTTGCAAACCACTGCCTTAGGCACACTGGCAGCAGCCTCTCACTTAGGTACAGCCTGGCAGCAGCCTCTGTGCAAATGCCACTCAAAGACTGCCTGATGCTGTCTTCAGTCCTTTGGGTAATCTAATCTGCACTGTCAAGCTCTGAAGTTTCTGTGGCCTCCAATTTTGCCACAGGATACAGGATGTATCAGGGACTGAGCTGCCTGGCTCACTCTGCAGAAGAGCATGAGATGTTTCAGGCTGACACTGAAGGGCTCAGGGAGCTGGTGGACTCTGGAGAACAATCACACAACTCTCAACAGCTGCAAGAGAGGCTGACATGAGCTGCTGCTTCTACTGAGCTGCTGCCACAGTGGGGGAAGCCTAGCCAGAGCTCTGGGATGTGTTACCATGGCACACCAGAGGGGCAAGAGGCAAGTCTGAAATAGGCAGACTTTGGGGATTTGCCTGAGCAGCACAGTGATCAGCATGGGGAGCAGAGAGGGTTATGGCATCAGGAGGGATCAGAAACACACTCTGGTGCCAGGCCAAGGTGGTGGTGCAGCTCTCCAGAGAGAGCCCAGCACTGAAAATTTGACTTAACCCTTGGATGACAATCTCCAGCTCCATGAAGAAGTCTCTGCTCTCCCCGCAGCAGCCCTGTGTGCATGACCCAGATCCCATCCTCGAGCAGGCAGTGAAGGTGGAGCTGAGGCAGCAAGTCCGGCGTGATGAGGTCTCTCAGGACGGTGAGCAGCTCCTGCCGGTGGCTCTCAGTGCCTGCACCCAGGGCTTTCCTGGCGGCGATCACGGCCAGCCGCTCGGTGCGGTGCTGCAGGCACGCCGCGGCGGCACCGGAGCGCTCGGGCGCCGCCCGCAGCGGCCGCTGTGCATCTCCCCGGGCCGGGGACACCGGAGCGCCCCTCGCTGTGGCCGCTAGCCAGGGCGGCGTGCGGGCACCGGCTCCTGCCTGGCGGCCTCCCCATCGCTGTGCGGCAGCTCCAGGCTCTCTCGTCTCCCTTCAGCAACAAGTGCACCACTGTCTGGCCTCGCTCCTTGCTCTCCACAAGGAAGGCGAAGAGGACTTGGCCTCCCTTGCCTGGCTCCCAGTGTAGGAGAAAACTCTCAGCAACTGCTTGAAGAAACACTTCATCGCATTGCTGTGGAAGCTGGTACCCATGTGTTTGTGTCTTTATCACTAAAGCACACGGTTCTGCAGCTCTGGAGGAGCAGGCTAGAACATGACAAGAAAAGCTTCAAGGAAGAAGGTTAAATTGTATTTTAAGAAGGCAAGTTATATTTTAAAAGGGCAAAGGGAGCAGTTGCATAACCAGTGAGTGACCTTGTAGCCTATGTGCACACAAGCAGATCCACCAGCTAAGATGGAAACAGTGTCACTACACCTGCTTGGAGAAGTGAAGGCCATGGAATGAAGCGCTCCCTGAAGGAAACCTGAGATCACCTTTCCACCGCAGTGAGGTAAGGACAGCTGGAGAATGCTGCAGATGCCGGCGCTTGAAGTCTTGAGCTGGAAAAGGCAGGAGCTATACAGCGAACACAAGTGTGTGGCACAGCTGGCAGCAGCCCGGTACCGGGGCCTCACACTACCGGGATCAGCCCGGTTACCAGAGCCAGGAACGGAGCAGGGCCTGTGCCCGGGGCAGCGCTGGGCTGGGCCCAAGCGGCGGCTCCACGGGGCCTGGCCGTGCTACACGGGGGGACCCCGGGCGCGCGGCCCTACCACAGGGGCTGCTGCGAGCTCCGCACGGACGCGGCGGCCGGGCCTTACCTGACGTCCTGGCCGACAGCGGTGCCGTGCAGCCGGTTGTGGCTGCGCAACGGGACGCAGCTCCGCAGTCGGTAGAGGCAGCCCTGACAGAGGGGAGCACGGGGAGCTGCCCCCCGGCCGCCGGGCAGGCGCGGGGGCCAGCGCGGCTTGGGCTGTCAGCGCGGGCTGCCGCTACCGGCGGGGACACCGCGGCGCGTCCCGGTCCCTGCCCTCCGCCGCCGCCTCCCGCCCGTGCCAATGGCGGCGCGGTGCGGCCTCGCACGGCGCTGGCACCGCCCGCCGCGGCGGCACCGGAGCGCTCGGGCGCCGCCCGCAGCGGCCGCTGTGCATCTCCCCGGGCCGGGGACACCGGAGCGCCCCTCGCTGTGGCCGCTAGCCAGGGCGGCGTGCGGGCACCGGCTCCTGCCTGGCGGCCTCCCCATCGCTGTGCGGCAGCTCCAGGCTCTCTCGTCTCCCTTCAGCAACAAGTGCACCACTGTCTGGCCTCGCTCCTTGCTCTCCACAAGGAAGGCGAAGAGGACTTGGCCTCCCTTGCCTGGCTCCCAGTGTAGGAGAAAACTCTCAGCAACTGCTTGAAGAAACACTTCATCGCATTGCTGTGGAAGCTGGTACCCATGTGTTTGTGTCTTTATCACTAAAGCACACGGTTCTGCAGCTCTGGAGGAGCAGGCTAGAACATGACAAGAAAAGCTTCAAGGAAGAAGGTTAAATTGTATTTTAAGAAGGCAAGTTATATTTTAAAAGGGCAAAGGGAGCAGTTGCATAACCAGTGAGTGACCTTGTAGCCTATGTGCACACAAGCAGATCCACCAGCTAAGATGGAAACAGTGTCACTACACCTGCTTGGAGAAGTGAAGGCCATGGAATGAAGCGCTCCCTGAAGGAAACCTGAGATCACCTTTCCACCGCAGTGAGGTAAGGACAGCTGGAGAATGCTGCAGATGCCGGCGCTTGAAGTCTTGAGCTGGAAAAGGCAGGAGCTATACAGCGAACACAAGTGTGTGGCACAGCTGGCAGCAGCCCGGTACCGGGGCCTCACACTACCGGGATCAGCCCGGTTACCAGAGCCAGGAACGGAGCAGGGCCTGTGCCCGGGGCAGCGCTGGGCTGGGCCCAAGCGGCGGCTCCACGGGGCCTGGCCGTGCTACACGGGGGGACCCCGGGCGCGCGGCCCTACCACAGGGGCTGCTGCGAGCTCCGCACGGACGCGGCGGCCGGGCCTTACCTGACGTCCTGGCCGACAGCGGTGCCGTGCTGCCGGTTGTGGCTGCGCAACGGGACGCAGCTCCGCAGTCGGTAGAGGCAGCCCTTGCAGGCGAGGAAGCGGGCGCATGGCGAGCGGTGGACGCGGGGGGACAGCCGGACCCCGTCCGCTCAGCTGCCCCAGCCCACCCCGCCATCCCCGTTAAACCAGCCGGGCACCGCCCGCACCCTGATAGTGACCAATCAGCGTCGTCTTCTCCCGATTGACAGGAGGCGAACCAACCAGCCTAGAGCATCCTGAAAAGACACGGGCGACTGACAGCTCTACCGTCCAATCACATGGCGGCTTTTGCCCCACGGATGGGCGGTGTTTCCTGGTCCGCCGTGCTGGTCGGGTCGCGGTGCCGGTGCCGGTTCGCGGAGGTGATGGAGGCTCCAGGCGACGCCGGCGGGGCTGGAGCGGGGCCGGGATCCGGGCCGCCGCCGTCCGGGGACCTGCGCAGCGTGCTGATCACCAGCGTGCTGAACCTGGAGCGGTTGGAGGTCGACCTCTTCAGGTGCGGGCGGACGCCGTGGCAACGGGACGGGGCCGCCTCCTCCTCCGCCGCCACGCTCACCGCGGCCGCCTTCTCCCCGCAGGGGCCAGCACCACTGGGTGCCCGCCACGCAGCACCTCTTCGGCGGGCAGATCGTGGGGCAGGCGCTGGTGGCGGCGGCCCATGCCGTGAGCCGCGACGAGCAGGTGCACTCGCTGCACTGCTACTTCGTGCGGACAGGTGCGCCCGAGGAACCGGGCAACCGGGCGGCGGGGACGGTGTGCAGGGGTTCGGGAGGGGCCCGGCACTGGTTGGGACGCTGCGGAAGTTCGCAGGAGTGAGGAGGCGCCGTCGTGCCGGTGCCAGCAAACAGGGAGGGTGTGAGTGGCACTGCCAGGCCCGGGCCCTGCAGAACGTCCCTTTCCCGTCGCAGGGGACCCCAAGGTGCCGGTGCTGTACCAGGTGGAGCGGACCCGTACGGGGAAGAGTTTCTCTGTTCGCTCTGTAAAGGCCATCCAGCATGGAAAGCCGATCTTCATCTGCCAGGCCTCCTTCCAGCTGTCCCAGGGAAGCCCAGTAAAGCATCAGTTCACCATGCCGACCGTGCCACCCCCCGAGGAGCTGCTGACGCAGGAGGAGCTCATCCAGAAGTTCCTGCAGTGAGTGGGGTGGAAGGGACACGCCAGGGATGCCCTTGCTGCCTGGGCATAGGGAGGTGTGGGAGAGTATTGTCTGAGGAGTTTTCAAATATGCCTGGGAGGGGAACAGAGGAGCAGGACACAACAGGAGCTGTGCTCCTCTTGTCTTTCTGTGTGCCCCTGGTCCCTGGGCTGGAGCTGCTGCCAGCAGGATGTGTTCCAACCTGCCTGTCTGGCATTAACCTCGCTCCTTTGTGCTGGGTTGCAGGAATCCTAATGTGGCTGAGGGATACAGGAAGCGTCTCACCAAGATCCAAGCTCAAGATGTGCCGATTGACATTAAACCTGTGAACCCACCAGATATATTCAGCTCAGAGCCACAGGAGCCAAAGCAACTCTTCTGGGTGCGAGCACGAGGCTACATAGGTGGGTCCTGCTGGGTCCAGGCGCCCAAGCTTAAGCACCAGCTCACACTGTGGAGCACTGTGGCAACAGAGTGGGCTGTGATTAGGGGGCTGCCTGTGCCCCAGCCTGGGCACTTCAAGGCTGTAATACAGGTGTGGGTGCAGAGGTGATGCCGTGAGCCATGCTGGGGCCTGGCATGGCAAAGGGAATAAGTCTGGAAGAATGTCAGCTGTGCTTGGCAGCTGGCTCCAGGGGAGAGGAGCCCCTGGGGCTCTGCACCCCAGACATGTCCCACGGGACAAGCAGCGCTGGTTGCTCTGCAGGGGAGACTGACATGAAGGTGCACTGCTGCGTGGCTGCCTACATCTCTGACTACGCCTTCCTGGGCACGGCCCTGCTCCCGCACCGCCAGTACCGCATCAAGTTCATGGTGTCCCTTGACCATTCCATGTGGTTCCATGCGCCCTTCAGAGCTGACCACTGGATGCTGTATGAGTGTGAGAGCCCCTGGGCTGGTAAGTCCTTAGTGGGTTTTTGGGAGACCTTCATGGCCAAGGGCAGCCCTGCCTGTCCTGGGGGCAGTGGGCTGCAGTCTGACAGTCTCTCTCTGCAGGTGGGTGCCGGGGCTTGGTGCAGGGCCGGCTGTGGCGCAGGGATGGGGTCCTGGCTGTCACCTGTGCACAGGAAGGTGTCATCAGGGTGGAACAGACACCAAAGCAGAGCAAGCTCTAGCTAAGGAGACCCTATAGACTGCGGCTCAGGCATGCCGAGGGAGGCAGCCTGAGATCAAGGCAGGACCTGGACAGGAGCAGGAAGGAGACCAGGTGGGACCAAGCACTGCAGGAAGTTCCAGTGCCAGAGGTGTCTGCAGCAGACTGTGACCAACAGAGCATCGCTGCAACCAGCTGCTAGCTGTGCAGCATATAAGTGCATACTGCCATCAGCTATCCTTCACCCACCTTAAAATAAAGTCATTGGGTGAAGAGTTGGACTCTGTCCCTGGAGTTTGTCCCCTTGGACCTGTGACTGGGCTTGCACGAGGGCGGGCAGTGCCAGGAACACAGTGCATCAGCTCTGCCCCCATGCCAGGCTGGGTCACAGGAGGGGAAGGTGCTACTTTGGCACAGGTTGTTTCCTCTTCTCACTTCTGCACTGCTTGTACTGCCTTGGCTCTTCAGTTGCTACTTCTGCTTGTCCTTGGGCTCCTCCCCAGGACTGGGCTTGGGCCCAGCTGGGAGCTGAGGGAAGGGATGAGGCAGCTCCCACCTCTGTGTGGAGGCTTGAGGCCTCCCACTGATGATGCCCTGGGGTAGTAAGGCTAAACAGACACAGCAGGCGCTTTGCTCTTCTTCCTGCCAAGACTTTATTAAATAAAGTCCTTTCTATTGTGTAAGTTTTATGGGAAGTTCCCGGCAAGAGCCCTGGACCCTGCCAGAAGCTTTCCCGTTCCCTTGCAAGGTGCCAGTATGTCCCAGCTAAAGTCTCAGCCACTCTAGGATCCCCTACAGAGGGGGAGCAGCTTCTGGCAGCACCAGTGTGGGTGGTGGACCCCCATGAGTCCCCCAGCCCCACAAAACAGACTAATCACAGAGAAAGTGCATTCAGGAGGCAGCTCCAGCCACGGGCTGTGCTGCCTGTGGGGCTGCAGTGCTGCTCCCTTGCCCCACTGCCACCCGTGGCATTTCCCTCACTGTCCCCAGCTGCCACAGGCGTGTGAGCGCCCCCACAGCCCTTGCCCTCTCGCCTATGTGAGCACAGGTGGCTCATTCCAGAGGTTCCTTGATCAGGCATTCCTTCAGGGATGGCTGCTGCTGCAGGGGCAGCCCAGCTTCCCGCAGGTCCTGCAGCCGGGCCTCCGAGCGCCGCTTGTCCTTGCCCACCTTCCAGGCCAGGTGGACGTGGGCCTGCAGGAAGGGTCCCAGCAGTGGGTGGCTGCCCTGAGCCTCCAGCAGCTGCAGCGCCTGCTCGCAGCAGCCATGGGCCTCACTGAGCTGGTCCAGCTCCTGGTGGCAGACGGCCAGCCCAGCCAGCGTCAGAAGGAAGCGGCCGGAGCTGCAGACCCCCAGCCGGTCCTGCAGCCGGTAGGCATTGGCCCAGGTGGCCAGGGCCTCGCGGTACATGCCAGTGCAGGTCAGGCGCTGCGCGGCCTGCAGGTCCGGCAGGAAGAAGAACTCGAGGAACTCAGGAGAGCGGCGGATCTCATCGATGGAGTGCAGATGGGACAGGAACTGTTCAAAGGCTCGGCTCCGCTTGGCAATGGTCTCAGCAGTGAAGTTCCGGCGCAGTCTCTTCCTGGGGAAGGCAACGCTGGCCATGTCGCAGCTGAAGCGGCAGCGCAGGCGGCGGTTCAGCTGCTCAAAGTCCGAGTAGCGCCGGGCGATGGTGGCAGGGGCCTTGTCAAACTGGCCAGAGCGGATCAGGTAGATGGTGTAGAGCTGCGGGGGAGGCAGGTGTCAGGCAGTGCTGTGGGCACGCTGCTCCCGGCACAAGCACAGCGGGGTGTGCAGCCACAGAGGGGCTGGGGGAGTTTGCCCGAACAGAAAGAAGTGGACTGGGCTGCTGCAGCTGCAGCACCCATCAGCAATAGTTACCTGAGGCTCATCTGAGCCGCCAGCACCATCCGAGCAGCACGGGGAAAGAGAAAAAAATAAGCGCCAGCCCCGTGTGATCCCTGCCCCGGGAAGAGCAGGACTCGTACCCAACCCGTGCGCGCCCAGCCGCGCCGGGCTCACTCACCACGTACTTGGAAGAGCGCTCGCTGACCACGCTGGCGCTGGTGACCTCGAAGAGCAGCCGCTGCGGTGCCAGGCTGCCCCGCGACCTCCGCCACAGCTCCTGCAGCTGCCGGGTCAGCAGGCTGCCGCCGGGACGCTCCGCCGCAGAGACCCACTCTGTGCCGGGAGAGGGGCGTCAGTGCCCTCCGTGGGGACAGGCCTCTGACATCTGTCGGGCTGCCGGACGCCACCATCGCAGGAGTGTCCCTGGAGTCACCCCAGCCCCCCAGCTCACCGCCCCAGCACCTGCCTCCGTCCTCCGTGCCCGCTGCCGCCCCCGGCGCCTGCGGCGGCTCCTCCAGCTCCTCGCTAGCTCCGTCCCCCTCCTCCTCCTCCTCCTCGTCTTCGTGGCTGGTGAAGCTCAGGGTGCCGCTGAGGCGCGTCGACAGCCCCTCGGTGTCGTCCTCCAGCTCCGAGCTCTCCGGGCAGTCCTCGGCCTCGCCGCCGCCCGCCGGCTCCTCCCGGCCGGCCTCGCCCGCCAGCGCGTGCCGCAGCCGGTGCAGGATGCGGGCGGCCATCGCTGCCGGGGGTCCGGGCCGGCACCGCGACACGGCGGGGCCGGGGGCTGCCCACCGCGGCACGGCCCCCGGCGGGGACAGCCCGGCCCCGGGACACCCTCCCGGTGCTGCCCCCGCCCCGGCCCGTTCGCGCTGCCCCGGGCCGAGCCGAGCCGAGCCGGGTGGTGCCGAGCGATGGCCGCTCCGCCACGGCTCGTCCCGGGATCCTCCCTGCGCGGCTCCGCCTCCGCCGGGAACCCGGATCGGGGTGGCGGAGCCGGCACCGCCCGGCACGGCTGGGATCGGGGTCTGCGCTTGCGGCAGCGTCCGGCACCATCGGGATCGGCTCTCCCGGCACTGCCCGGCACGGCCGAGATCGGGGTCGGTCACTGCAACACCGCCCGGGACTCTCGGATCAGGGTCAGGGCTCAGCCTGGCTCTGCCCGCAGCCCCTGCCTAGGAACCGAGCCCGCCCTTCCCGGTCTCGGCTCCTCTGTCCGCTGTCCGGGATGTCCTGGTCGGGCCGAGCTCCGGATATCTGCCCTGGTGCCACAGGAGCCACACACTCCGGTGCTCGGCGCTGTGGTGTCCCAGGGTCTTGATACCCCCATACCCTGGCACCGCTGTGCCCTGACAGCCAGGTTCACCAACACCCCTGTATCCTGCTGCCCCAGACTCAGGCTCCTGATCCCACTGGGATGTCCCCTGGGCGACCTTGGCACCCTGCCGCCCTGGCCTCAGTCGGCCTCACCACGCGCCCCATGGCCAGGCTGTACCTCCGGCACTCGCCCAGCCTTTTTTAGTGCCTGCCTGCTCACTCCTCACTGTTTCCTTGGGAATGTCTATAAATATCGAGGAACCAGCCCAGCTGCTGCCATCACTCTGTCCATTGCTTGCTCAGTGTGCCCTGTTCCAGCACCCTGCACCCCACACGGGCTCAGATGGGACCCCTGAGCTTCCCTGGGCAGGGTGGGATGCACTAGGGGCTGGACTTGTTTCCAGTTCCCACCTGGTGAATGAAGGTCCCAGCAAAACCAGGAGCCAGAAAACCCCTGGGCATCCCTGGCACTGGGACCTTATGGGACAGAGATTTGTCACCCTGACCCCACTGCAGCCCTGAGGCTCCGAGCACCACAGGGCATGGGCCACTTGGCCAGTGCGTCCCCAGAGCCACCAGTCCCAGCCAGTCCTGGCAGCAGTGGCTGGCACGGGCTGTGAGTGTGAGGACTGAGTCTTCGAGGAGGCACCGGGCATAATTCCCACTCCTCAGAAGCACGAAAAGATGGAGCCATTTCCGGAAACAGGTGCCAGCAGCACTGGGGACCCCAAACCATGGGGCTCATGCTCCAAATCTCTCCAGGGATTTTGTGCCCCAGACCCCACAGGGGACCCCTTCCTTATCTGGGCTGGGGGGCTGCAGCCCTGCTCTGCCTGGGTCCCCTGGAGCAGAAAATGGGGGTGCAGGGGGGGGACACTGTACTGGGGAAAATCAGCTTAGTATTGGGAGCTTGGCCCGGGAAGGGCTGCATTTTCAGGGGCCAGTGGGTTATAGTCTATGCCCCCTGAGCAGGGGGGACCCTGTCCCCCTTACCCGGGTGATGCTGATGGCTCCAGGGCTATTTTTAACCCCCTCATTGCTGAGTTGCCTTGGATGGGGGTGTTGGGGGTGGGCAGAGCTTTGATCTCCCTCCTGAAGGGCTTGAATTTCCATCCCAGCCTCATCCCCACGTTAATCCCAGCCCTTGGCCAATAAAGCTTTGGCTAAATTAGGTAAAGGCGCCAGTTGCCAGTGAGAGGGACTGAGTGCTGCCAGAGCGCTGATAGGCTGAGGGGGCCAGGGGGCAGTAGCTGGAGGTACATCCCACAGAGGAGACACTACAAATTGGGGTGCCAGGGGCACCAGGAAGCTTCTGGGAGTTCCTGCTGCAGGAGCTGGTGATTCTCTGTGGGAGGGAAGCACCATAAATTCCCAAGATGGTGAGTGTTCCTGTGTGCTGTGTGCCATGTGCTGTGTGCCAGGACAAGACCTGACTGGACAGGAGGCAGCAGGGGAGTGTGGGCTGTGGAGCTGCCTCTGCAGAGGGCAGCAGGGATATGGTCCCCAGTGCTGGGCTGGCCATGGTGGCGAGGGCAGGGAAGCGTTGGGGTGGTGCAGGGTCCCTGCAGGACAGATCTGAGGGGGTGTGTGTGGCTGCTGAGGGGGTGCAGGTGCCTGGAGACACCATCTCAGCCCTGGCTGGAGCTTAGGGCTGCACAGAGGCAGGGGTAGCAGGGGGTGGCTGAAAGCCGAGTGCTGGGTCATGCGACACAGCGTTGCTGCTGGCTCCATGGCCGCCCTGCGCCTCCAGGAGAAACTCGATCAGGGTTGACAGGTGCCACGGCTGTAGCCCCAGCGAGCCCTACAAGGGGAGCTGAGGAGGTCCCAAAAATAGCACTGCATGCCCAGGATGCCAAGGCTGTACACAGGGACCATGACCCCAGCACAATGGAGCCCCCCAGACAGTGGGGGACTCGGGCAGGCAGCTCCCTGCAGCCCTCCATGTTCATGGATGGTCTGGAAGGCATCAGAACTGTAGGGATTGCTGGTGTCTGTGGCTTATGCCAGCACAGGATCATCCTGCAGCAGGGCAGAGGCTCTTCCCACAGCCAAGCACTGTTGGGCCACGCTGTATGAGGGGTCTCTGGCCTGATATGGGTGACCTTCTCCCTTGTCTTGCAGACGGACCAGCAGGCAGAAGCCCGCGCCTTCCTCAGCGAGGAGATGATTGCGGGTGAGTGTGGGGACAGCAGGGACAGGGGCCAGACGTGGCCGTGGTGCAGGGCCTGGCTCTGCCCCACTGCTCAGAGACCTGACCTGTCTCTCCACAGAGTTCAAAGCCGCCTTTGACATGTTTGATGCTGATGGCGGTGGAGACATCAGCACCAAGGAGCTGGGGACGGTGATGAGAATGCTGGGCCAGAACCCCACCAAAGAGGAGTTGGATGCCATCATTGAGGAGGTGGACGAGGACGGTGAGCAGCCCTTGGTGGCTGGTGGCAGGGGTGGGCACCGGACCCCGGGCAGGCAGCCTGACCCACGCCTGGTTCCTCCCCACAGGCAGCGGCACCATCGACTTCGAGGAGTTCCTGGTCATGATGGTGCGCCAGATGAAAGAGGATGCCAAAGGCAAGTCTGAGGAGGAGCTGGCCAACTGCTTCCGCATCTTTGACCGGTGAGTGTGGGGGCGAAGCGGCCCATCCTGTCTGTGGGAGCAAGCAAGGTCCCATCCTTGTCTCACCCTCCTGCAGGAATGCAGATGGGTTCATTGACATTGAGGAGCTGGGTGAGATCCTGAGAGCCACTGGAGAGCCTGTCACTGATGAGGACATAGAGGACATGATGAAGGACTCAGACAAGAACAATGACGGTCGCATCGACTTTGATGGTGAGCAGTGGCCCCAGACAAGCACCCATGTTGTGCACCCAGGCAGGGCCATGGGCTGAGGCTGCTGCTCTCTTGCAGAGTTCCTGAAGATGATGGAGGGCGTGCAGTAAGGGACCAGACATTCCTCAGGCCAGCTGCTGCACCCAGCCCTGCTCCCCTGCTGTCCAGGGAGCAGCAGCTCCACAGCACCTGGCCCTCAGCACTGGCTGGGACCTTGCTCTGTGCCAGGGTCCTGGTCTCATCTCACCACCGGCGGCTGAGCTTTTCCTCCCGTCTGTCACCTGTGGCTTTGATTCGAGCCTCAATTAAAGAGGAAAGGCTTGAGCTGCTGGTGCAGGATTTCACTGGGGGTGCATGGGGAGGGGGGCTGTGGCAGTGTGTGCCCCTGCTCTGCTCCCCAGGGAGGGAACGTGGGCGGGCTCACGCCACAGGGCAGTGCTGCAGGGGCAGCCCAGAGCTGTGGTTCCCACGGCCTCTTGGGCAGGCGCCAGTGCTGAGCTCAGAGTTTCCGTGCAGAGCAGCTCGTTCACACGCCAGAGGCTGAGGGAGCATGGCCCTGGCCCCGAGGCTCCTGCTCCAGGGCAGGGCTATGGGAACACAGGAGTTCTAGAGAACCACATCTCCCATCCAGAGGATCTCGCTATAAGGTGGAAGGGCAGGAGCAATCCCCTCCCTGCAGGGGAAAGGTGACACTTGTCTCTGTGTCCCTCTGTGAAGAGGCTGTGCCAGCCTGCTGGAAATCACAGCTCCCTGGGGACCAGCTGGGGTGGAGCACAGCAGGGAGGATGAGGCGGGGTACATCCCCAGCCAGGGTGGGTGGGACCACCGAACCAAAACACGGCTCAGAGCTGGTCACGTACCCGCAGCACAGCGCTGTGGCACAGAGCAGCCGAGCCCCCTGGAGAGCCAGCGGCCACCGTGCCCATCCTGCCCCGCTTTCACGGGGTGGCATGGCACCGGGCAGGAGGGATGCGTGCCGTGGGCGGGGGGCAGTGGGAACATGTGCCACAGCCCAGGCTGCCCTCTGCAAGGCCACGGCCGGACACCGGCAGCTGGTGCTGCAGCTCGGGGGGAGCGGCGACTGCCCTCGGCTGCGTGAGGAGCGACGCAGGAGGAGCGCAGAGGCCCGTGAGCTCAGCACGGGTAAGGAGGGACCTGCTGTACCGGGCAGCAGCCACGGGAACCTCTGCACACACCCTGCTTGGCCCCAGGGCTGCCCCAGCTCACTCGCCTGTCCCACAGGGCTGCGGCGGATGCTGCTGGCGGGGCTGCGGCAGGGCCCGGCGAGCCCTCTGGAGCGGCAGGAGCTGGAGCGGCTGTGGGTGCTCTTCCTCTCCGCCCTGGAGCTCTTCCTGCAGGACCTGTACAGAGCCCAGCACCTCTGCCAGCTCTTCTCCATGAAAAGGGGTGGTGTTGCCCCGCTGCGCACTGGGCTGGGGGGCTGGGGGCTGCCCAGCCGGAGAGGAGGGGGTCCCACACAGCCCCCAGCTGCCCAGAGCTTGGAGGAGGAGATCGAGCAGGTGAGGGCCATGCTGGCAGAGATGGAGAGCGGAGCCAACATTCCACCGTGGACAGTGGAAGCCACAGAGACCGCACAGCCAGCAGAGACAAGAGGCACCACAGAGAGAGCAGCTTGGGGAGGTCCCTGTGCTGGGCACTGCTGTGGGGTGCTGTGAGCTAGGGGTCAGGAAAAGCAGCAGGGGTGGCACCCCTGTCACAGAGCAGGGGAGAGAGGTACCCCTACAGTCCTCAACCCCTGCCTTTATAGGTGATGGTGGGGGCTGCTCCCACTCTGTAGATGGAAAGGGATCACTCCAGGTCCCCAAATACTGTAGAGCTCCTGTTACCTCACAGGGGTCAGTATCCCTTCTACCCTCCCTGCCCACACTTGCAGAGGGGCCTCTGGGCACTCAGGGTGTGCTAGAGCTGCCACAGAATCCCCTGCAGAAGTTATAAACCTGCATTTATTTATACATTAACCGTGGCTCGGACTGCGACATTAATTTAAAAACAGGCTATGATACAGAATGCGGGGGACAGCCGGGAGGGAGGGAGAGAGGATGGGGTGTGCTGAGGGGTGGTGGTGACGGTCAGGTCTCCTGGCTCTTGGTCTGCTTGTTGTACGTCTCCCGCACATACTTCTTATAGGCTGAGGAGAGAGGGGGAACATAACACCAAGGGTCCTGAGACAACAGCCAGGGCAGCTGTGTGGCCAGACAGGCACGGGGGGCTGTGCTGCTGCCCATCCCACTGGGGAGGGGGCAGGAGGGTTCTGCTTCAGGCACTCACCGACTTGGTTCTTCCAGAGCTCAGCTGCATGTGTGTTCAGAGGGCTCTCGATGTTTGGCTCTGGAAACAGTGGCTGAGTCAGCTGGTGGGAGGGGGGACCTGGACACCCTTGAGCCCTGATCTGGGCTGGACAGCCCCACCACCATCACCATCCCTTCCCCCAGCACTCCACAGCAGTTTGTCCACGAGACCCACCTGCCAGCAGGCTCTGTATGGAGAGCAGGATGGTGCGGACATCATACAGCGCTGACCACTTTTCCTTGAGGATGTCGAGGCAGATGTTGCCCTGGGTGTCGACGTTGGGGTGGTAGCAGGGGGTGAGGAACCGCACGGTGGGGGCTGTGTAGGGGTACCCGCTGGGGAACTCCAGCGACAGCTTGTACCGCAGCTCCTCGTAGGCCTGGGGGTGGGAGTCGAGGGGGACAGTCAGGGGGGGCCGTAGCCCCAGAGGTGCGGGAAAGCCTCGGGGGAAAAGAGGTACAGGGGGAGTGGAGGGCTAGAACCACCCTCAGCTGAAGGGAGGAAGGTGGGGCAGGGTCAGCCCCCCCAGACCGGGATCGCGCCTCTCACCGTCCCGGCGGCGCCGTCAATGGTCCCGATCCACTTGAAGAGGTTGTCGGACTCGGGGAAGGCAGAAATGCCTTTGTCACCGGACATCTGCGAGGGCAGTGCGTCAGGGCGGCCCCGGACACCCCGAGACACCCCCCACCCCAGTTCAGCCCCCGGGTGCCTTTGGGACCCCCAACCCGCTGCTTGGTGCCAGGATCGCCAACCCCCGACTCGGCCCCGGGGCCCCACTCACCATCAACGCCATCAGTTCCTGCTGCAGCCTGCGGGGAAAGCGCACGTTACCGGCCCGCTCACCGGGGCAGCCCCCGCCCTCAGCCCCGGTCCCGGTCCCGCTCACCTCTTCCCCACCGCGCCGCGGGCCGCCGTGGCCCCGGTCTCAGCCGCTTTGCGGGCGGCTGCGCTGGACACGGCGGCGGGGTCGGCGTTCTGTGAGGCCATAGCGGCTCCGGGGCACGGACCAGCACAGCAGCACCGGCCGCCGCTGCCGGCGGGTCACGGGCTGGACGCGGCTACCGCTCCCCGGCGGCGCCGCACCGGGCTCCGCTGGCTCCTTCCCTCCCTCCCGCAGTCCCGCTCGGGGCAGGACTCGGGCCCCTCTGCGGCTGTGCCGGTGCCGAGCGGCGGTCAGGGCTCCCCTAGCGGGGCTGCCCTGTGCCGAACGGCGGCGCGTGGGGTTCTCCCGTGCGGCGGCGGCGGCCCACACCCAACCACCGTTCCAGACGCTCTCCGATTCAGGAGCGGCTCGGTCCCGACCCCTTCTTCGGCGCAGGAGTGGCTGGGTCCCTGCCCCTCTCCGGTGCAGGAGCGGCTCGGTCGCAGCCCCGGTCCCGAACACTCTCCGGTACGCCCGTCCCGCGCGGCCCCGCCTGCTCCCGCGCCCCGTTTGAATATTTCCGCGTGCGGCCCCTCCACCAATCAGCGCACAGCCCCGTTCGAGCCGGCCAATCACCGCCCGCCCAGGATGCAGCTCCCACGGTAACGGCCAGGGGCTGTTGATTGACGGCCGGCCAGTGACGCACCGCGCTGTGATTGGCCGCTGCCCCGCGAGGGGCGGACCCGCGCGTCCCGCGGGCCCTTCGGCGGCCGGAGCCCGGAGCCCGGCCCCAGGAAGCGGCGAGGTGGGAACGAAGCGGCTTTATTGGGGGGCATCAGGGTTCGGGGGGGTCCTCGGGGGGCGGCACCTCCCCCCCGCGGCGGAGCGTCTCCATGTGCTTCTGCATCTTCTCAGTCATCCAGGCTGGTGGGATGAAGGGCTTCAGCTCCTCTAGCCGCAGATCAACAGAGTCCCTGGGGAGGAAGGAGGGGGAGATGGAGGGACTCCAGCACCCACTGCTGACCCCAAACCCACCATGTCCCCTAGCACGCAGCAGTACCAAGCCCAGATCCACCAAACCCACCACGGATCTCAATCAGCACTGAGCCCAAACCTACCATGGACCCCAACCAACACCAAGTCCAAACCTTAGTTGCCCAACGTGGCCCCCTGGGCACCAAACCCCAACCATAACTGAGCCCCCAGCCGTCAGGCAGAGAGTCCCTCCATCATGGGATGCCCCTGCAATGCAGCAGTGAGGGAAGACATGGTGGGGCCCCCCCCAGGAAGCAGCCCCAGGCCCAGCAGCACTTTCAGAGTTTCTGCTTTGGTCCTCACCTGTAATCCTCACTGGCGGCCAAATCCCGAATGTCCTCTTCGATGAGGAGGTAGGCCTGTGGCACAAGGTGGGGGACACCTCAGGGTGCCTGCGAGGGGCAGCCAGGCAGGGCCACACCCCCCAGCCACCGCTGTCCCCGAGGGAGCCAGCTGTGCCTCCTGGCCCATGCCCCAGTGCTGTGGGCAGGGGATGGACTCGGCAGCGCTGTGTCCCCGTGCCCTGCCTATCCTCCTGCTGGGGCCCTGCGCCCGGCCGTACTCACCATCTTGCCCCCAATGGCCCTCATGTGCTGCTGCTCTGTCAGCCAGTGCTTATCCTGCGGGTCGGCCGCGTACTGCAATAAAGCAGCAAGGACCGAGCTGAGAACGGGTGACAGACCCTCCCCTGAAAGCCCCCTCCTGCAGGATGCTGCCCCCTGCTCTGCTCTGCCCCCCGCTCCGCCTGCCCTGCCTCTGGCAAACCACCTTGGCAGGCACACACCACTGGCTCGTGCTGTGTGCTAGCCAAACCTTGGGAATGTGCTCTAAGACAACAAACAAGGGCATGGGGGAGGAGGTAAACAAGGGAGCTGAAGCACACACTCCTCATTCCCATGGGAAACCATCTGGCTGTGGCACCTGACCTTAAAGAGGTGGGGATGCTTGATGTAGAGTCGCCCTCTTGTTCCTCCCATCCCGAGAGCTCTGCAATAGGAACACGAGGGGTGTTAGGGTTGTGGGGAGGGCAGCTGCGGTGGCACAGGGACACCCCTCTCCTCCCCAAGCCCTTCCTACTGCTTTTGAGGCAGAGAAGCGAAGTGACGGGAGGAGTGTCACGGGCTCCTGCCTGGGGACACCACCCTCCATCGACAGGGCCGTTCCTTACTTGTTTGCTCGAGATCCCAGCACAAAGGTTGTGGTTTCAGTCAGTCGGGATGGATCCCACTACAGAGCAATTGGAAAAGGGGCAACATTAGAAATGAAGTTGCTGCTGGCCATGCTCCACAAGCCTCGGCTCTCCGACAGGGAACCTTGGAGCTGCCTCCAGACTGGGAGGGAGGGAGCTGGCCAATGACCTCCAGCCTTCCGCAGGGGAGGGACGTCACATTCCATCTGGGTTGATCTAAGCAGTTTCCCTCGTGGGAAACACTTGTGGGATTCTCCTGGCTACTCCCGGTCTCCTCAGGTCTCCCTCAGCGGCACCACACCGCAGGGTACAGGCTATGGTGCCTGGGGAGACCAGCAAAGGCCTCCGGGCACTTCGCTTCCTCTTCTTGCTCCCCCCCTGCCCAGGGCCCCAGCAGGACAGGGCACAGCCCGAGCTGTCCTGTGCTCCTGCAGCTGCAGGGCTCTGCTAGTGGGAGCAAAGGGGAGGAGAGAGGGAGCCCATCAGTGTCGGACAGCTAATACCTTTGGTCCATCCCTTTTCACAGGCTCAGAGACTTTGAGCTTCCACCTGAGGGGAAGGAAAACACAGAATGAGGCCCAGTGGAATCAGCTTAGTCACCACCAGCAGCGGGGACTGAGCCCCAGCCCTTCCAGATCCATCGTTTTTCACACCCTCCATTCCCCCACAGCGCCCAGCTTCGGACCCTCTGCTTTGCTGCACATTCTCCTCTCCTGGTTGCCCAGATCACACCATCCCCTATGTCTCACCACTCACTCTGGATGGTCCATCTGGACCTCTTCACCCCTTTGGGCATGTGTAAAATCCCTCCTTTTAAGGTCTTTGCCCCTGAGGGGAACACCTCAACCTAACCCTGCTTCTGCCCACACCCAGAAGAACTCCCATCACCTCTCTGCAGCAGAGGAGTCTGTGGGGTTTCTGAGCTCCCCAGAGGCAGCCTCATTCCCCCTGCCCTCCTGAAACAGGGGCTCTAGCTCAGGGTTTGTACTCACGCTGCCATGCCTGAGACTCCACGGTCGTTTGACAGGCTGTGTCCTGGAGGCCGCCCCTTCCTCTGCAAGAAGAAACCCTTCTGTGACCCAGATGTGCTGCTGAGGGAACCCTGTCAGCCACCCTCCCTCTCCCAGGGAAGCTGCTTCTTTTGTCACAGGCATAAACTCTGCCTGGCACCAGAGTGAGCACCTCCAACACCTCAAAAAATCTGCCTGTGCACCTTTATGGACTCACACAGTGGGAATGGCCAGAAATGCGGGCCAGGTTTCCCAAAACATAAAATCTCTT